CGCTGACTTCTTCTCAGACATCCGGATGCTCGGGATTCAGGAGCTGGGCCCCCCTGCGGAAGGGCCTCGGGTGTCGTGGCAACTTTCTCATCGCCAACGAGCAAGTGCATCGGGGCTTGGCAGGTAGCTAGCGAATGGGCAGCCGATGGAGCCTCGGCCCAGTGGGCCGACCGGCGTGGCCCAAAGACGCGCTTGATAGACGGCGCCCAGGGTAGTAAAATACAGGAGCCAGCCCTCGGTGCGGGTCGAGGTCGCAAAACTCGATGCGGAGCGAGGTCGCGGCCGTGGGTGCTTGAGGGTTAGCTTCTGTCGAAGCCCCACCAGCTCGGGGCGCTCCAAACATATTCCGCAGTGTCTGGCTCAGGGTGGCAGCTGGTTCCACGTGCCATCATCTACACATTCAGAACGGGGCTCTCGAAGGGCTCTCCCCTCTCAACATGTGTAAATTGGTCTTTTCTGCTCCGTTGTAAATTTGGCAGATCGGGCTGGTGTCCCCGCTCAGCTGAGCTCTCGACAGTCTCTGTCGCCTACCTTGCCCCCGTGGTTCACCACGGCTGCTGCCGCCCGCTGGCTGCTCTGCTCATCGTCGAAGTCTTCGGCGTCTGAGCGTCCCTCCTTCCTCTCGTCGGCCTCCCCCTTCCCTCCTTGCACGCTGGCCAGTTCGCTAGTTAGTGCCCCTGCCTGCTGTTACGCTGGTGCGGATTTCGTCGCCTCGCCGCTTACGAAAAAGTGTGCCGCCGCAGAGGGCCGAGAGAAGGTGGGGGCGACTTTTTCCTCCAGCTGGTATCGCCGCCTCGTCGCGCGCAGCAACCGCGCGTTGTCGAGCGCGCCCGGGTGCGGTGCCGATGTCGCTGGCGTGTCCAGGTCATGGCGCGCGCGCGGGGTCTGCGTCGAAAGTTAAGTCGGGCACGTCCCTCCACGTACAGGAGGAATGTTCAACAATAGTAAAACAATCGTCGGGGGGCGTTTTTTTTTTTTTTTTTTTTTTTTTTTTTTTTTTTTTTTTTTTTTTTTTTTTTTTTTTTTTTTTTTTTTTTTTTTTTTTTTTTTTTTTGTTTTTTTGTTTTTTTTGTTTTTTTTTGTTTTTTTTGTTTTGTGTTGTTGTTGTTGTTGTTATTGTTGTTGTTGTTGTTGTTGCTTTTGTTTTTTTGTTGATGATGATGTAGTAGTAGTAGTAGTAGTAGTAGTAGTAGTAGTAGTAGTAGTAGTAGTAGTAGTAGTAGTAGTAGTAGTAGTAGTAGTAGTAGTAGTAGTAGTAGTAGTAGTAGTCGTAGTAGTAGTAGTAGTAGTAGTAGTAGTAGTAGTAGTTGTTGTTGTTGTTGTTGTTGTTGTTGTTGTTGTTGTTGTTGAGCTCTCATTCTTGAAGAATAATTATTGTTGATCCCCCCCACCGGTGCACATTGTTTTTTTTTCGATTGAAGTGCCACCCCCGGGGCTCGCACCTTGTTTTTTCTCAAGGAAAGTCTTCCTGCTCAAACTGTGCCCCTGCCCCCCGGGCTACAACAACAACGGCTCCCGCCTGAGACTTCCTCGATTTTTACTCAGGACCCCCGCTCCCGCCTGAGACTTCCGCGCAATTTACTCAGGAAAGGCGCTCCCGTCTGAGACTTCCTCGCAATGTAATCAAGACCCCCGCTCCCGCCTGAGACTTCCGTGCAATTTACGTGGGAACGGCGCTCCCGCCTGAGACTTCTTCGAATTTTACTCAGGACCCCCGCTCCTGCCTGACATTTCCGCGCAATTGACTCAGGAACGGCGCTCCCGCCTGAGACTTCCTCGCAATTTAGTGAGGACCCCCGCTCCCGCCTGAGACTTCCGTGCAATTTGCTCAGGAACGGCGCTCCCGCTTGAGACTTCCTCGCAACTTAGTCAGGGCCCCCGCTTCCGCCCGAGATTTCCTCACAATGTACTCAGGACTGCGCTCTCGCGTGCGACGTCCTCACAAATTATTCTGGAATTGCGTTTCGGCGCTCAGGAACCACGCGCGCGCCAAGGACGCCTTCACAACGTGGTATCTTCCCTCTTCCTTCGTCCTTCCCCCTCCCCTTCCTCCCACTCTCCCTCGTTCTTCCCCTCCTCCTCTTGCAGGGCCCGCGCCAATTCCAATGGCGGGCAGAGAGATGTACGCCCCCGAAGGATTGTCCGCCCGTTCCGGTTTGCCCGTACGTCTAAGCCCGCCGGCCCCAGCAAAGAGAAATAATCCCCCCGAAAGGGGTGTGTTCGAAGACGAAGAGGGCGGGTATCGAGGGTGTAGGGTATACGTGTTGAATGACTCGCGGGCAAATAAGAGCGTACAGCCTAAAAATGGTTGTTGTTGTTGTTGTTGTTGGGGTTGTTGTTCTTGTTGTTGTTGTTGTTGTTGAACATTATTTCTTCTTAAGAATAATTATTGTTGGGACCCCTGGTGCACGCCCCCCCCGCCGCGCCTAGGCCGCAGCCACATTTTCATCATTTTCGTTCAGGTCGATGTGATCCAGAGGTTTTCCCTTGCAAAAAACACTATAAAATGACATTTCTTGTTCTAATATAATCAAATTTCAAGAATCCCTTGCAAAAAATAAGGTAAAGTGGACATTCGCGCGCGCAAGACGAAATCCTTCCAAAACCTTAGTGTTCGTAGCGATTTTAACATAAAAACATCAAAAAACCAATGGTTTTTCAAAAAAAAAATGTCGAAATTTCATCCCGCGCGCTCTTGCGGATTCGTAGGAAACCCAACACTTTTTAAACATTTCTGTCAAACGGGCTTTTGCGAACAACTTTTTCGAACTTCTGCAACAACGGTTGCGCACCTGCCAGGGCCATCATCCCTGTCAAATAATACCATGCGGGACACATTCGTTTTTTCTTCGCGCGCGCACGCCGTCGTCGTCGGCCGCGGGGCCCTGAATAGTAGCCACGGTCGTCCGCATGCCACGAAGTGAAGTGTCCGAACGTCATAGGGCGGGAAGCTGGGTGTGGGTGGTGGCGAAGAGTCGTTTGGAAATTTGGTAGAGCTTGAACCGGCCCCCCCACAAAGTGGGGGTATTGCCCGCCTCCTATGAAAACCCTGGCACTGGTGAGAACGGAGTGTCCCCACGTGCTAGTAATTGTTGTTGTTGTTGTTGTTGTTGTTGTTGTTGTTGTTGTTGTTGTTGTTGTTGTTGTTGTTGTTGTTATATTTTATATATTTATGTTAAAACATTTTTTTCCGCCAAAATCCGCCTGTAGGGGGACATGCCCGACCTAAAAGTCTAAAGCCGCCGTCGCGGAGTAATTTTGTGTTCGTTGCAAAGAGAACGAACCGTTCGAGCATGTGTCCTACTCCATTCGCGTGCCCGTGCCCTCCTCCGCGCGCGAGATGTGAGGCTCGGGCCAACGGGGCGCGGCTCGATCCCGCGTGGCCCTTGATGCCGATGTGGGATTGGGCCTAGCTGCGTGTCCGTCTGTCCCTCCTCCTCCTCCTCCTCCTCCTCCTCCTCCTTCCTTCCTCCTTCTCCTCCTCCTCCTCCTCCTTTCCTCCTCCTCCTCCTCCTTCCTTCCTTCCTTCCTCCTCCTCCTCCTCCTCCTCCTCCTCCTCCTCCTCCTCCTCGAAGGTGGCCTGTCTGAGCGCCTCGAGGGTCTGCTGCAGCGGGGGCTGCCTGGTCCACCCCAATGGCTGATTCTCATCGGTGCTGTGAGGTCTCTGATCTGCTCGCCTTGGCTCGGTGATGCTGGGCTGGAGTCGGGCCCGTCCCTCTACAGGAGGAATGTTCAAAAATAGCCAGAAAATAGTCAGGGGGCGATTTTTCTACCATGTGTTGACTATTCTGGGGTATTTTTTGATAATATTTCATTTTTCACCCAAAATCTGCCTGTAGGGGGACACGCTCAACCTCATGCTGGGCGGCAATCTCTGGATCCTGGCTGGCCTCGGTCGCGCGTCGTCGTGGCGCTTGCATGAGAGAGAATCATCCTGTGCGTCAGTGGAACTGACCTGGCCGCCCACGAGCTTGACCTTGTCGTGAACAGCCAGCGGGTGGCCCTCGATGGTGATGTCTTCCAGGTCGCGCTGCTTATCTTTGTCGATGGTCCAGCCCTGGTTCTTTCCAGGCCCGGGTGCTGGTCGAATTTGGGCGCGTCGGCGGTGGATGAGGTCATTTCATTTATCGTATTAACCGTGCTAGTCGAATCTTCTATGAACGTGGCGGATCAGCTTCTAGGTAAATGCCTTTGCTGACGGGCCGTCAATGCAGGCAAACATATTTCACATCGTCCAGCCTGAAAACGCTGCTCTGCAAAGGGGCTTTGGTGGTCGTAAAGAACGGGCCATATGAACCCGCCATCTTCGTGATCCTCTGATGGTTGTCATAGAAGGCCTTGCGGGTGTCGATGATCGGCTTTGGGCGTCCTGCGGGTTCCTGCGAGCACATCGCCACTTCCGTGACAAGAGAAGCATTTTTTTATCCAGTGCTATCCCGTGCTTTTCTTCTCCCCGGTGGTGGTTGGCCTCCGCGAGGAGTGCGAGGTTGGTGGGGGCGTTGTGAAGATCAGCGCCAGCCGTGGCTCCATGACTGGTAGCATGCGTCCACTTCGCCCTCCATGGTGAAAGCTTCTTGTGCGCGGTCGTCTCTCACGCGCGCCGCCGACGGGTGAGGAATGGCGAAAGACGCTGCTCCAGTGGGTGAATGCCATCACCTGTCCTGAGACATGGTTCGCAACAGCCAGGAAGGAGGTTGGGATATCGTTGGTTTCTATCATTCAGCGTAGTCCCTCAGCCAAAACGTGAGTTGTAGGGGAGGAGGAAATAGTTCTAGGGGCTTGCTGGGAGGGTTGACCTGAGTTGGCTGTAAGGTTGGCCAGAGTTGACCAGAGGGTTGTTCGGAATAATTCTTCGACAGGTGGTCCTCCTCCTCCTCCTCCTCCTCCTCCTCCTCCTCCTCCTCCTCCCACCTCCTTCCTCCCTCTTTACCTGCCTTCTTTTTTTCTTATTCATTGTGTCCTCCCTCCCTTCCTCCTTCTTCCTCTGGCGTCCAAGCCAGGTTCTCTCGCGCAAGGCCTTCGAAGTCTACGATGGGGGCATGGAGAGGCGCGGTCGCGCACCAGCCCGCGCCATGTGGTGGTGGTCGTCGTCGTCGTCGTCCTCCTCTTCCTCCTCCTCCTCCTCCTCCTCCTCCTCCTCCTCCTCCTCCTCCTCCTCCCCCTCTCTCCTTCCTCCTCCTCCTCCTCCTCCTCCTCCTTCCTTCTCCTCCTCCTCCTCCTCCTCCGCCTTTTGCTCCTCCTCCTCTCCTCCTCCTCCTCCTCCTCTTCGCTCCTTCTGCTTCTTGCTCCTTCTCGCTCCTCCTCTACCTCCTCCTCCTGCCCCTCGCTCCTGCTCGATCCTCCTGCTCCTCCTTCTCCTCTTCTTCTCCTCCTCGCTCCTCCTCCCCCTGCCCCTTCCCCACCCCTCCCCCTCCCCCTCCTCCTTGCTCCTCCCCCTCGCTCCTCCTCCTCCTCCTCCTTGCCCTCTTTTCTCCTTCTCTTCGTCCTCCCCCTCCTCCTCCTCCTCCTCTTCCTCCTCCTCGTCCATTCCTTTTCCTCATAGATGCTCCTCCCTGTCGCACCCCGAGGCCGTGTACAGGGCGGACCGGGCGTTTCGCCCGAGATTTCGTCACAATATATGATCCTACAAATTTGCACAGCTTTCGCGGATGGAGGGCGACCCGCTTTCAAAATGTGGTTCTCGTTTTAGCGCTGCGCGCGCTCGTTTTCAACAATTTGCAAGCGCTCCCAGCATGGAGGGCGGCCCGCATTCAGAATGTGGTTCTCGCCTCAGCGCCGTGCGCACTCGTGTTCAACATGTGCAAGAATTTCACGGATGGAGGGCAGCATTTTGTTTGACATTTGGCTTTCGCCTTAGCGCCGCGTGGATTCATTGTAAACATCTGCAAGCGCTTCAAGGATGGAGGGCGGCTCCTTTTCAAAATGTGGCTCTCGCCTTAGTGCCGCCGCGCGCGGTCGCCTGAATAATTGGCAAGAGCTTAACGGATGGAGTTTTTTGTTCAATTATTCTTGGGCTTACGCCACACCGCCGACCCCTTGGGGGGGCTCGCGGCGCGTCGCCTTCGCTCATGGTGTCGGTGTCGGTGCCTTTGGGAGCCCGTTTTGAAGCATATTTTGTGCCTCAGAGGTGTCTCTTTCGGCCTCGTGTGCGCCTCCTGGTGGCCTCTTGGTGCCTCTTAGAGGCCTCTTGGTGCTTCCTGTGGCGTTGTGGGGCTCTTTTGGGCCGTCTTGGCCGCCTCTTGGGCTGTCTTGGGCCCCTGTTGGGACCGGCTTGGGTCTCTTCGCGCCGCGAAGAGACCCTCCGAAACTCCCGGCGGACCCAAGTGACGGGCACTGCGACAAGGCACGGAAGTTGCGAGGCATCTAACTACTGGGGACGGGATGGACAGGGGGACGGAGGAGCAAAAGGCGGAGAGGGTGGAAGGTGAGGTGGTGGAGGGAGGATGACACAGAAAGCTGAGGGGGGGGAAGACAGGGCGACAGACGAGGGTGAAAAACAGCAGGCAAACACGACGCGAAAGACGAGGGCGGCGACGGAAGGGCGCCATCGTGAAAATCCTCTCGGAGGCCTACGAGAGGCAGTTTGGAGCATTCTGGGGAGCTGTTTTGGGGCCTCTTGGGGTCTCTTTTGGGCTTCTTGGGGGCCTCATGGGGGCCTCTTGGGGCCTCTTGGGGGCCTCTTGGGGCCTCCTGGTTGCCTTTTGGGCCGGAGAGGTCGAAATTGAAGTTCGTGGTCTCCGTCTGGAGCCTGTCTTGGGCCCCTCTTGGGGCCCTCTTGGGCTGTCTTGAGGCCCTCTTGGGCCGTCCTGACGCTCTCTTGAGCCGTCTTGGGGCCCACTTGGGGGCCTGCGCCGTCTTGGAGCGTCGGAAGCGCAAAAAAAACTAGATGGCCAAAAACTTAAAAAAAACAATGAAAATCAACGATTGTGGCCTCTTGGAGCCCTCTTGGGAGGCCTCTTGGAAGCCTCTTAGAGCGTCTTGGCGGCATCTTGGGCCGTCTGGAGGCCATCTTGAGCGTCTCGGAGCCCTCTTGGACCGTCTTGGGAGCTTCTTGAGAGCCTCTTGGCTCGTTTTCGGCCCCCCCGGCAGACTCTCTGGAGCGGTTGACCCCCCCCGGGCCGCGCCCGGGAATCCAGCCGGGCCCCCCCCCCCTCCAAATCGACCGGACCAGGCTCCCGGGGGAGGGGTTTGGGGAGGGGGAAGAATCTCACACGCCGATGATCCCCAAGGGGTCGGCGGATTTTATTTTATGTTGTTATTGTAAGATAAAAACTACAGTGTATATATATATATATATATATATAGTTATATTGGTTTTGTGTTTTTTTTTTTTGTCTTCTTCTTCTTCTTCTTCTTCTTCCTCCCTTCTTTTTCCTTTAAGAACTGTGGCTTCCGCTCCAGCGCCGTGCGCACTCGTTTAAATAATTGACAAGAGCTTGATCTATTTTCATGGTCGACGTCCCAGATATGTTGTTTTGGCAGGGCGTCGGAATGTCAGGGCGCAGCAGCCACGCTGATTCGCGGTGTTGAAGTCCCAGGAATGATTTTCTGTCGCGGTCCGGGATCGTCAAGACGCAGCAGTTAAAACAGTGGCTCGCGGCTGTGAAGTACCAGGCTTGGTGTTCTGGCGTGCTTCAGGATTTTCGCACCGTTGTTCGCCAATGGGGCAGATTCCCTCGGTGGAAATGAATCCGTGTAGAAGCTTGCGATGCGGTGCAATATCGTTGGTGACTTTTCAGTTTGCACTGGTCCTCCTCCTCCTCCTCCTCCTCCTCCTCCTCCTCCTCCTCCTCTTTCCTCCTCCCCATGCTCCCTTCCCCCCCTGTCCTCCGTAAGTAAGACTGGTCCCAACCTCTTCGAACCGTTCACGGACCAATTCGGACCGATTAACATCATTGGAAGCGGACTGATCGCAACGTGTTTGTTTCCGATCTGAGTCATACGTGGCGAACGCCAAATCACAATCAGGAAAGCCTTCTTGAGCTTCCCAGCGCTTGAGTCCTGAGGGATTCTTGAGGTTCCAGAGAGAATCTTGCGGATTTTGGAAGAACGTTCGCGGTTCCGGCAGGATTCCTGGATTCTTGCGGATTTCGGGAGGATTCCTGGGGGATCCCTGCAGGATTCTTTAAGATTCCAGAACAATTCCTGAAGGATTCTTGCTGGCTCCCGAAATATTTTTGAAGATTCCAGGAGGAATTTGGAGGATGCCTGACCGATTTTTGAGGTTTTTTTGTAGGATTCTTGAGGATTATCGAAGGATTCGTGAGGGTTCCTGAACGATTCTTGAGGATTTTTGAGGTTCCTGAAGGATTCTTGAGGATTCCTGAAGGTATCTGGAGGTTTCTGGAAGGGTTCTTGCGGATTCACAGGAAGGATTTTGAGGTATCCCGAGGATTCCAGACGGGTTTTTCGGGATGCCCGAGGGACCCTACCAGATTCCCGGGGTTTCTTCGGCGGATTCCCGAGGGATTCTTCACGGATTTCTGTTGAACTCGCAAAGCGGATTCTTGAGGGATTCTCGAGGGATTCCTCAGGGACTCTGGAAGGATTCCTGGGGGACTCTTGTGGATTTCCGGGGGACTGGAGGTTCCTGGCGGGTTCCTCAGGATTCCTGAAGGGAATCTTCCTGGAGGAGCCCAGGAGGATTCTTGAGGACGCCGGAAGGATTCATGAGGATTCCTGAAGGATTCTTGAAGGTTTCTTGAATATTCTTGACGGGCTCTTGAGGTAGTCCTGAAGGATTCAGGAGGATTGTTGAGGATCCCCGAAGGTTTCTTTTGGACTCCTGAGGGATTCCAGAGAGTTTTTCTTCCGAAACAGCCGATAGAACCAAACACAGTTTTACACGCATTATTATTATTCACAGCATTATTAATGTTGTTGTAGTTGTAGTTGTAGTTGTAGTTGTAATTGTAACTGTAGTAGTAGTAGTAGTAGTAGTAGTAGTAGTAGTAGTAGTAGTAGTAGTATTAGTAGTAGTAGTAGTAGTAGTAGTAGTAGTAGTAGTAGTAGTAGTAATTGTTGTTGTTGTTGTTGTTGTTGTTGTTGTTGTTGTTGTTGTTGTTGTTGTTGTTGTTGGTATTGTTGCTGTTGTTGTTGTTGTTGTTGTTGTTGTTGTTGTTGTTGTTGTTGTTGTTGTTGCTGTTGCTGTTGTTGTTGTTGTTGTTGTTGTTGTTGTTGTTGTTGTTAATGTGATTAATCTTATTAGTATTATTACTACTACTATTTTTAATTTCTAATTGTTGTACTATTCGTGGTAATACAATTTCTGCCATTCTGATTTCCAGTGTTATTGCTATCTGCGTTGTCCATACGCTGAGTAATACTTTTTTACTTTATAATGATTTCTGAAGGGTTCTCGAAGGACTCTTGGGGATTCCTGATGGACTCTGGAAAGATTCTTGAGGGATTCTTGCGGTTTCCTGAGGGCTTCTGGAGGGATTCCCGAGGGACTCTTGCGGCTTCCAGGGGAATCCTGGAGGATTCCTGGGGCAGTCTTTGGGATTCTTCAAGGGGTCCTGAGTTCGTCATTCCTCACGCGTTCTCCGTTGTGGTCGCGCTGTCAATCGTCAGTCGACTGTCGTCAGCGGTCCATCGTCGTGCTCTCTCTCTCTCTCTCGCGCGCGCGCCGCCTCCCGTGGTGAATTGGAGGATCGGGAAGTGCAGGAGCAGGAGGAGGAGGAGGACGAAGAGGACAATTTGGAGGAGGAGGAGGAGGAGGTGGAGGAGGATGATACCATGATGATGATGATGCTGATGCTGATGCTGCTGATGAATATGACGAGGATGATGATGATGCTGTTGCTGCTGATGATGATGATGCTGATGCTGATGCTGATGATGATGATGATGGTGTTGATGACGATACTGATGATTATGATGCTGGTGATGATGCTGACGATGATGTTGATGCTGCTGCTGATGATGCCGATGCTGCTGCTGATGATGATGGCGATGATGGCGATGATGATGATGATGATGATGATTGTCGTGATTAACGTCGACGCTGTACTTTGCACGATGAGATGTGCTGTGCTCGTCCGTCGA